TGCACTGAATCGATATCAAATTTGATCAAGTGTTAAAATTTCATAGCAAAAACTGAGTACTGGGTAGTGAATTAATGAACAGAACTGTGAAGTGACAAGAGAATGAATGACATGCGAAAGAGCGCTACCTGGCTCCTCTCGCCGAGCATTTTCCACATTTTACGCAAATCGACGCGAAATCTTTCACCCACATATGCTCAGTTGGTGCACAGAAGTCCGTATATTCTGTGTCGTCACCTTGTGCAGCTCGAGCTGAACTTGCTAAATCATCATTCGTAAGACCACCACGCGGTAACGATCCTGTCGACTGCAATCAAGTGAATTCAGTAACCAACTACTTCAAATCCATTATCAAATTTGCACCAAATAAACTGCAGTTTCACGTTTCTCTACTGAGCGCATTCAAAGCAAATGACGACAAACCTTCACCGTATTTGAACCATCAAAAGCATTTTCTTCAGTACAATTACTTTCTATTTCATACAAATGAGCAAATGCATATATCATTAATTCCAAGATAATTTATGAGTAATCCCTCAAGAAAGATCCGAAAAACGACATATATAGCTGACATATAGCTCAGTGATACTCACTTCAGCTCGCCCACATTGATTCAGATTGTTCAAACCCCAAGTGTAGAGATGTCCGTGTCGAGTGACAGCAGCCGCATGTGTCTTGCCAAGCGAGATCGATGCCAGATGCACGTTATCCAGGCCAAGAATATGACCTGTTTCCGGATGACACTGCATCGCATGTCGACCATAAATGTACGCCTTCCCGTTATCCGTAACGTACGCTATACAACCGGAAGAGACGGCCACTGCTACACACTTACGCCTGAATAGTGGCACAGTACGGGTAAAGGCAGAAAAATCACTAAACAAATCACAGAACTTCAGATGTTCACCATCGATTGGCTCTATTCTAAAATAAGCGCATTGATTAAGCCTGTTCGCTGGATAGTCTATATCTCTGAGGGAAATCTATTCACTTAAGCTTCGGTGAGTTTCATTCACCAAATAGGATTTGTTCATCAGTGTAAAAATAATTACTACCTGGATTGGCCAGGCTATCAAACGTTTGTAACGTTGCTGGCCGCCAATAAGTTGGAAAGACGATATTACAAAGAAACTGGGTTACACCTGGCAAATGAAAGCAAGATCAAGGACTCAATGGAAACGCATTGTGGTCAGCAACGTTACAGAAATAATTATATCCTGTTAAAAAGGCAATTCAAGTTTTCCAATCGAGAAATCGATCCAGTTTATCTCATCGTTAGATGGACAGTAAGTTGGATGGTGGATGGAATAAGTGCACTGAACATATGATATACCTATTGGCCGTTTGCAGCTTTCTCAGCTTTGCTGCTGACGAGCCAACTTCTTGTCGTTGGAAACGGCCAGTTGCTGGACTGCCCTGACAAAGCGTTTCAGGTCCAAGGCCGGCGATCCAAACATGACCCGAACCAGATCTGAGCACAATCGTCTCAGTGTCTGCGCCCACAGACAGTGAAACGATCGCTTCGGGAAGAACCAACTCCATCCATGTGCATCGTGTATCCTAAGAAAATTCATTACAATCATTTTAGGCGTTCTGAATTAAACTAATGGTGCATGCATGTTTTATTGGGACAAATTCTTAACGCTGCACGACCCATTTCTCGAAACAAATTAGGCATTAATAAATGTGATCGAAATAAGACATAAATGGCGACTAGGAAAATCTTTCAACTGTGACTAATGGATAACCATAAGAAAACTGAATTATTCACTTCACAGGTTTCTCGATTACCTGCAATCCAACGCGGGTTCCATTACCCGCATAATAAACCTTTCCCGTGCGGGCAAGTAAGAGTGCTATCTCACGACCCATTTGTAGATCAGATGCTTGTGCTTGTAGTGATCGAGGTAACGATAGTGGTAGTTCATGAGGAATAGGATGCGATTCACCAACGGCCACATATCCTAATTCAGCTAAACGATACTTCTGAGTTTGTTTCAAGTCTGTCGTAGGTGTGAAGCTGTCGTCCAATGGAGTGATCTATAACCAGTCAAATTGCATGCGAATTACAAAAATGTGGACCGAAGAAAACCGTTAGGAAAGTAAACAAACACAGATCAAACCCTCTAGAAGTTTGACTGCTGCAAAATAAAATTTGAAAGAGGAACACCTACATCTGCTCAAATCAGAAACATAATCAACATGAAACAATACGGATGAAGAAAAACAATCCAAAAACAAACACATATCTGACATTGCAATTTTTGAATCCATTATTTTATTTCTGAATAACCATCTAGTATTAACTCGCTGTAGCGATACAAAACTCAGCATGGTGATGACTTGAACAAAGCAGGCTATTTCTACAAGACGAAACGTGAAAAATAGAATAAGGCTCATTACACTCATAAACAAATTGAAAACATTCATTGGAACGCACCGTGAAATTCCAATGTTCGTCGATATTCGCCTGATAAAAAGCGTAACTGTCTGTGATCAGCGTTCCTGCAACAGGTGAATTTACTGTTGGCATCACAATGAAAATGAGACAGATCACTTCATGTCTTGNTATATAATATACAAATATTAGTATTAGCTCTAATCATCCTAGCAAAAAATGCATGGTCAGATAGCAATAAGGATAGTCAACAACGTATGATAATGATATGCACACTTATCTCCTGCTAAAGATCAATCGGATTCTATGAAAGTACCACGTAAAGTATATCACAACTTACTTCGCTTTGAGCATCGTATTTGAAGCATAACGTTTTCCGGCGATAGTTTCAGCTAGGCCAGTACCGTACTTGAATAAACCATAGCAATTTAATATGTACACATAAGGTCCTGGAAATTTGTTGCTAAGTTTTTCTTAGACACTTGAGATCGCGAAGCAGCTCAAAAAAAAGGAATGGCTAACCATCAGAGGCGATTGCTCCAGTAAGACGACGATCATCGGGAGTGTCTGGAGATATATCGTCCGGAACTCGGGCATCGAATGCTGAGAGAACACTGTGTTCAGACAAACAATTCGACCACCAATCACCAATGCTATAAATTGCTGCGTTGTCATTTCATGCACAATATAAGAATCAGTAATGAGCGAGAAGCTATAAAATTACAAAGAATAGTGATTAGTAGTGAATAAAACGGGAATTAAGATTTGTTTCAGAGAATATGTATGGATAATATCTGCTAATGTATGGATAACAGTGTTCTGGGAAGCACTTGATTGTCTCAATTGTTTTTATTCATTTTCTTTTCGAATTTACGAATATTCCGCATTCTAAAAACTGTTAAGGAAGACTTGATCAAACTTTTGATTACGCTTGACTTTTGATCACTTCATGTTCAATCACAAACATGCGATTATGGGGCAAGCTGGATTTATATTCAAGCATGAGTTCAGGTTCAAGTGAGATGTTAAGTCTAGCTCATAAAAATGAGCTAAAGATACGCGAACAAAAGGAATATGTTCAAGGGAAGATCAGGAATAAGCCCACGTACACGCCAGGATCTTCGGAGCGTC